CATCCTAGACCTCAAAATTAGTTGATGATAATATATATTGTTTCTTGAAAAAATAGAGAAAAAGAAAAAGAAAAGAAATTGCATCTGAATATGTTGTTTTTATGTAAGATATAAATCCATGCACTTTCCTTGTTATTGCAGTGCAACTTCCTTGCAGCTGCATAGCACTTTCATGGAAGCCACTTTAGGCTGAAAAGTTAGCTTAAGTAATTTCTAGGAAAGCCACCCTAGTTGCTTTTAGTTCTTATAAATAGGGATGCAGTTTTGTATTTGAAAACACAAAAAAACTGAATACTCAATACATTGAGTTGTTAAAAATCTTGTTCTATCCTAAAAGTGTCCGTTTGTGCCGGGACTAACAAGTGGTATCAGAGCTATGGCAAGCCAAGATGCTGCGTCGACGGTGCAAGGAAGCGGAGCAGATGCTTCACCGCGCCAGGAGGTTATCATCCACATGACCGTGCGGGACGTTGGCGGGGCCAACTGGCCGGTCCTCACACGCACTAACTACGGCGAGTGGGCGGTGCTGGTGAAGGTCAAGTTGCGTGCGCGCAAGCTTTGGCGGGCCATCGAAGAAGGCACCGAGGATGAAGAAGAGGACTGTGCAGCGGTGGAAGCGATTCTATCTGTTGTGCCTCACGAGTATGTGAAGTCGCTGGGCGCAAAGGACTCCGCAAAGGCTGCTTGGGACGCCCTCAAGGCCATGCGCATCGGGTCTGATCGCGCAAAGAAGGCGAAGGCGCAGCAGCTGCGGCGGGAGTATGAGGCGCTAGCGTTCCGCGACGGCGAGGCAGTGGAGGATTTCTCGCTCCGTCTGCAGTCGCTCGTCAGTCAGCTGGCGACACACGGCGTCACCATCACCGACGAGGAGGCGGTCGAGAAATACTTACGCGTCGTGCCGCTTAAGTACTCTTAGATCGCGCTCGCCGTCGAGACGTTGATCGACATGTCCACCCTCACGATTGAGGATGTGACTGGGCGCTTGCGGGCGGTGGATGACCTCGTGGAGACGGCGACGATAACTACCAGCGGCAATACTGCTGACCGAGGAAGAATGAGCGGCTCGTATGCGCGAGCGGTGGCCTGGGGAAGGCTCCTCCAGCCGTGGCAAGGCCCCGCAGAAGAAGAAGAAGAAGGACGGCGACAACGCGCGTCCGATCGACAAGGACACTTGTCGACGCTGGGATTGCAAGAATCCCAAGAAGGAGAAGAAGGAGGCGCACCTCGCATAGGTGGACGACGAGGAGCCATCTTTTCTCATGGCGAAGTTCTACACGTTGCACGACGTCGAGCTAGAGTTGGAGAAAGTCAAAGCAGCGGATGCGGAGCAGGGAAAGGCACTACAGGCACTACAGGCAGTTCACCTCGACGAGTCGAGTGCCCAAGTCCACCTTGGACGAATGGGCGGTGGCATGGAGCAGAGGTGGTACCTGGATTCCGGCGCCAGCAACCACATGACCGGCTCCAAGGAATCCTTCTCCGAGCTTGATGACGGCATAACGGGGACGGTGAAGTTCGGCGACGGCTCGAAGGTGGAGATTCGAGGTCGCGGCACCGTTATCTTTCGGTGCCAGAACGGCGAGCACCGCGCATTGACGGACATGTACTATATCCCGCAGTTGCGTTCAAGCATCGTCAGCATCGGGCAGCTGACGAGCACGGCTGCGAGGTGCTTGTCAAAGGCGGCGTGCTAAAGCTCAGGGACCGAGACCAGCGGTTGTTGGCCATGGTCCAGCGTTCCCGGAACCGCCTCTACCTCCTCGACATGAAGGTGGAGCAGCCAGTGTGCTTGGCGGTACGACACACTGAGGAGCCATGGCTATGGCATGCTCGGTTCAGCCATTTGAACTTCGACGCACTCGGTCGGCTGAGGAAGATGGTGCGCGGGCTCCCGCACATCGAGCACGCAGGCGAGCTGTGCGACAGCTGCCTGGCAGGGAAGCAGAGGCGGCTGCCCTTCCCAAAGGCAGCTAAGTATCATGCGGCGGACGTCCTCGAGATCGTCCATGGCGACCTCTGCGGGCCGATCACGCCGGCTACGCATGGCGGACGGCGCTACTTCCTGCTGCTCGTGGACGACTGTAGCCGTTTCATGTGGCTGCAGCTTCTGACGAGTAAGGATCAGGCGGCGAAGGCATTCAAACGATTCCAGGCGCGAGTTGAGGCAGAGTCCGGGAAGCGGCTGCACGTGCTGAGGACGGATCGAGGTGGCGAGTTCACATCGGTACGCAAACCAGGGGGTGGTGCACCATCACACTGTGCCGTACTCACCACAACAAAACAGCGTAGTGGAGCGGCGGAATCAGATTGTGGTGGGCATTGCCCGAAGCATGATGAAGGCAAAGGACATGCCAACGGAGTTCTGGGGAGAGGCTGTGAGCACGGCGGTATTCATCCTCAACCGTGCACCCACGAAGGCCCTGAAGGGCATGACGCCATTCGAAGCTTGGCATGGTAGGCAGCCCGACGTCTCGTTTCTAAGGACGTTTGGGTGCATTGGCCATGTGAAGAAGACGAAGCCCTTCCTGTGCAAGCTTGAGGATAGGAGCACACCGATGGTGTTCTTAGGCTACGATGAGGGGATCAAGGCCTATCGGCTCTACGATCCGCGTGAAGGCAAAGTGGTGGTTTCATGGGATGTGGTGTTCGACGAAATGGCGGCCTGGGATTCGGAGAATCTTGGCACGGGGGAAGCCCGTGGCGTCGGCGGTACGTTCGTCATCGAGCATTTGGTGATCCACAGAGGAGGAGATGCGGGAGTAGAGAAGCCAGATGTGGACGCGCCAAGTCCAGCAGCTGTGGCGGCGTCGGATGAGTTACGAAGTTCGGCCATGGCGGGCACGGGCGAAGAGTCTCCACCAGCAATTGCACACACGCCCCTACCACAGTCCCCTGCTGCGGCTGAACAGGGACCTACCCAGCGACGACAGTTGAGTTCGCCTCTCCTCCAAGCGACAAAGATGAGTATATGGATGCCTTCCACGACGGCAAAAGGGTGAGGTTTCGCAGGATGGAAAACCTCGTTGGCAACTCGGCTGTACCAGGCTTGGCGAGCCGATTACTCGACGATCAGGAGCTGCTCCTCGTCAGCGCTGAGGAGCCATCGACTTTCGTGCACGCCGAGCGCGATGTTAATTGGAGACGTGCTATGCTAGAGGAGATGGAGGCGATCGAGGAAAATGAGACGTGGGAGCTCGTCGATCCACCTCAAGGCTGTCATCTAATCGGGCTCAAATGGGTCTACAAGGTCAAGCGGGACAAGTGTGGCGCCATAGTCAAGCACAAGACGCGCCTCGTTGCTCGCGGTTTCGTCCAGCGAGAGGGCATTGACTTTGATGAAGTTTTTGCACCACTGGCGCACATGGAGTCAGTTCGCCTACTGCTAGCCATGGCGGCATCAAAGGACTGACGCATTCATCACCTGGATGTGAAATCGGCCTTCCTCAATGGCGAGCTAGCAGAGACGATTCGTCAAGCAAGCCCCGAGCTTCGTCGTCAAGGGAAAGGAGCACAAGGTGTTGCGGCTGCGGAAGGCACTCTATGGGCTGCGACAAGCCCCGCGAGCGTGGAATGCCAAGCTCGATGCCACTCTGGGTACGCTTGGGTTCACGCGCTGCGCGACAGAGCACGCGCTCTACACGCGGCGACGGGGGAAGGAGGAGCTCGTTGTCGGCGTGTATGTGGATGACTTGATCATCACTGGGGCACGAGAAGAGGACATCAATGGTTTCAAGCGCGAGATTGCAGCTCGTTTCCGCATGAGCGATCTCAGGCAGCTCTCCTACTACCTCGGCATCGAGGTGAAGCAGGGGACAGACTCCATCACTCTCTGCCAACGTGCGTATGCGGGGAAGCTGTTGGAGCAGAGCGGCATAGCTGACTACAAGTCATGCGCGACTCCGATGGAGGAGCGGCTAAAGCTGACGAAAGCCAGCACCGCGGGGAAGGTGGATGCAATACTCTACCGGAGTATTGTCGGCGGGCTGCACTACCTAGCCCACACTAGGCCAGATATCGCATTCGCTGTGGGCTAACCGTTTCATGGAGGACCCCCGAGAGGATTATTGGGCTGCGGTAAAGCGGCTGTTGCGCTATTGTCAAGAGGACGATGGACCAGGGCATCATCTTTCCCAAGATTGGCGGCGGAAGTTGGCTGCGGCTCACGGTTTTCAGCGATGCAGACATGGTAGGCGACATTGATGGGAGGAAGAGCACCTCCGGTGTGCTCGTCTTCCTTGGATCGGCCCCAATCTCATGGCAGTCGTTGAAACAGAAGATCGTGGCGCTGTCTACATGCGAGGCGGAGTACGTGGCGGCAGCCACAGCGGCGTGCCAGGCGGTCTGGCTGCGTCGGTTGCTGAGCGAGCTGACCGGCGAGGAAGCTCGTCCACCAGCTCTGATGGTGGACAACCAGCCCGCATTGCCCTTGCAAAAAAAATCCAGTTCTCCATGACCGGAGCAAGCACATCGATACCCGTTTTCACTTCATCCGTGATTGTGTCGATGAAGGACAAATTGTTTTGGAGTTTGTCGAATCCGGACGGCAACTCGCAGACATCCTTACCAAGCCACTCGGCCGTCTTCGGTTCATGGAGCTGAGGACCAAGATTGGAATGATAGGAAACAAGCAAGAACAGGGGAAGAATTGTAAGATATAATCCATGCACTTTCCTTGTTATTGCAGTGCAACTCCTTGCACTGCATAGCACTTTCATGGAAGCCACTTTAGGCTGAAAAGTTAGCTTAAGTAATTTCTAGGAAAGCCACCCTAGTTGCTTTTAGTTCTTATAAATAGGGATGCTGTTTTGTATTTGAAAACACACAGAAAAACTGAATACTCAATATATTGAATTGTTAAAAATCTTCTTCTATCCTAAAAGTGTCCGTTTGTGCCGGGACTAACGGTTTAGATATTCGAGTTCAATCGTACTAGGGGTGCTTATTTAATTATTCTACTTATTAAGCTCTGAAAACTGTTTGATTTTTATCATGGGAATAAAGCTGTCAGATATTAGTTGAAAATTTGTGTGATTATTGTTGATGAAACCATTTTCACGGGAATAAAGCTTGCACTTTTGTACTAAATTCGATTTTCTTTATGTACTTAGTTTCATATCGTGTGCATGTATCACTGGATAAATGGTCATGTGAAATCATGCTAAACATTATTCTTTTGTTGCTGCAGTGCCCTTTTTAGTCTACTCAACTTAAGCAATGATGGATGTTGTTGATTGTGAGCGTAAAAAAGTGGTATGTGTAATACTTTTTTTATCAAGTTCTCTTTGACAGTTGTAGTTTCGAATTAGGACATATATTGATATTATGAGAAATCATGACATAAGGATTGTGTTGTGGACCAAATAGGTTTTGATAACTGGGTAAGTTTGTCACAGATTTAAATCTGATAATTCCGAATCCTTAAAAACTGATCTATGTAGTTTGTTTGATTTATTTTATATGATTCAGTGAATTTATTCTTGGCTCTAATCCATATAGTATTGGGTCTTTTGAAATCATTTCCGCCAATCCTCCAATTTTAATGAAAATGTTTCCATCCTTGGGCAATGCTTCAATTATTTCATATGCTTTTCATACAGATTGTGAAATTATTTGGGGGCCTTCTTCAGCTCAAGTGCGGATATTATTTGTTCGTCTCATTCTCTTCATGTTTGAGGATTGTTACTGGCTGAATTTTATGTCGTCCGAGTTTCAGTCCCAAAAAAATATAGAATGTGAAACGTGTACCGGTTAACTGTATCATCCTTCATAATAATATTTCATGGAGAGGGGAAAAAAGAGAAGGAAAAAACTATAGAACATCAAGGTTTGTGTTGTGTGCCTGTTAACATTCTTCTTTATGGGATATGTATATGAAGTGTGTTTTCCCAATATATATATATATAGCCTATAGGTATGCCCTTTCAGTTATCATGTTGTGTTTTCATTCCACATGAGAGTATTAAAAGACCATCGAGGAAAATCACTTTCTGGGTTCTAGCCAGGAGAAATTGTTACTCCGTGATTTGGTAGAGTATGCTAGACCAATTTTTTATATCATCCCATGTTCCTATAATAATTTACTTCATATATGATCTCCTTAAAATTAATGTTTTGATATCTTTTAATATTATTTTATCTCCCTCTTTCCCGCTTTCGTTACTTTGATTAGTATCAAATATTTTATTCTTATTTTTTCTATTCAAACTTTTACATGGATAATTATGGATAGAACCAAAGGAATGAATAAATTATATTCAACGATAATAATTCAGTAAAAGAATAGACCTGTAATTTATAAGAGGATATGCTATCTTAGCCACCTGATTTATAAATATAGAATAGATATGCCTTCCGTCACACTAAACATAAACGAGAAGCCACTGAAGCTTTTGGAGGGAATTTAGAAACCCATCTTGCAATACATGTTTTGTTTCAAGAACAACCCTTTCTATTAGTAACCCTCTCAAAATTAGCAATGGTCTTAACATTTAAAAGTTAAGGTTTTAAAAAAAAGTTAGTCGCTCCCAAGAGAGGAAATTGAGTGGAGGGTGAAGTGTAGAGTCAAAGGTTAGGCGTGCGAACAGGTCAAACCCCTAACGCCTAGAGCACCTAGGCGGAGATTATACGGGGTCTAAACGGGTTGTGAAAAAAATTGTATATATTTAATATTATGCATAATTTACAAAATATATTTTATAAAGTATATTAATTAACATGGTTAAATACACAGATTTTTAAATATATTATATACTTATAATCATAGTTATAAAATTCGAATTGGTGATTGACCCGGAGTAGACTCCGGGGCATTAGGTCACCAATCCAATCGTCGGATTAGCGGGTCAATTTCTAAATCGAGTAATTGAGTTTATAAAATTTTAAACGATATTTATATTATATTTACCTTATAAAAATAGGTAAAATAATAAAAATAAATCATTTATGTGCCTAGTTTGATTTTTAGAACATATTTATATTCTTTTCTTAAGAAAAAAAACAAAGATCGAATGTACATTTGGTAAAATGATAAACCGTGCAAAACTATAGCAAACTATTATTTCCAATTATTAAAACCACATCGCCAATTAGTCAATGATTTCAATTGTTATAGAAGTTGAGGTTTCAAAGAATGCAAATCACCATACTGGTTCAAGCTGAAATTTAAAAAACTTGGTTTGAAATTAAGCTGAAATTTAAAACTTGAATCAATACACTAATGACAATAATATTACACACAAGTCTTCACAAACACCATGTTTAATCAGAGCTAGCTTCCTTGCTTGCATGGCTCATCAAGAATACACAACTCTAAACCTAATACCGGCCTCATTGTTACATTTGTGTACATAAAAACTTTTACGAACCAAATGAATTCCTGGGGAGACACTAGTCGAAAGAATCACAAAGAACTAAACAGCTAACTGATGCAATGAACATGTTAAGAAAAATAGCATATGTTGGTATAAGGTATTACTGAATCAAGGTGCCACGACCTAGTCCTTTCCCATCATTATCACCATATATTTCTCGAAAAAATTAAGGAATTATCACCACACGTCTCGTAAATACCTTCCGGTCGTTTGCAAATTCTTTACCATGCCCTCGGCTTGGGAGCTTGTTAAAGATCCCTGAAAATACGAGTAAGTCTAATTTTACAACCTGATTTTTTGGAGACAGCATAAGTACAACAAGATAAATCGAGATAATACAAACACTGTTGCTATGCTACCTAGTTTAAATNAGGCACATTTCAAGATTACAAATACCCTCTCGACATATCATTCTAATTTAAAGAGTAATTATGAAGAACAAATGCAAAAACAACATGATATACATGTAGGGATATTAAAAAATTCATAAGAATTCTGATTGATATGTGTGTGTGTGTAGAAAAGAAAAAAGACTAAATTAGATAAAAACCTTATCTTGCACAATAGTGTGAAGAGTACGGTGGACATCGCGTGCCATACCCTTGGCATCCCCACAGACATAAACATAACCTTTCTGAGAGATAATATTCCAGATTTCGTCCGCCTATTACACAATACACCATGTGTTAGTATCTAAATACAACACCACTTAAGACTTCGCTAATAAAATCTGAAAAACACATAAAACCATTTTTTGCAGTTGAAGAAAATTTGACCGCATAAACAGCATATATTTGTGGTCGTATTACCTTTTCCGCCATCTTGTGCTGCACGTACTCCTTAGTGGGCCCCTCACGTGAGAATGCAAGGACAAGCTCAGAAACTACCCCAGCCTTCACAAAATTGTTCAACTCCCCCTCATAAATGAAATCCTGCAGTAATAATAAAAGTTACTGCAACGAACGGGGATTTTGGGAAAAAATCATGGAAATTAGAAAAAGAAAATTCCTTACCATCTGACGGTTTCTACACCCAAAAAATAATAGAGCAGGACCAAGTTCTGCTCCAGATTCTTTTAGAGCTAGTCTTTCCTGAAATGAAAAAATAAAATTAGTTGCAGATCTTTAATACAGAAAAACTAAAAGGCGAGAACATATATTAGTGACCTCAAAAGGCTGTATGGACACAAACCTGAAGGAAACCCCTGAATGGAGCCAAGCCAGTACCAGGGCCAATCATTATGATCGGCAGTTTAGGATCACAAGGTAGTTTGAAATTAGAGGTCCTCACAAATATTGAGGCCCAGCTGCAATCACTACTTTCCTCCAAAGGCACAGCATTCTGCAAAGTGATCAAGATATGCATGTCGAAACTGTTCGGGACTCATCAATAAGGCATTACCAGAATTAAAATATCAAACATCGAGTAGTACACTGTTGAATTAGCTATCATCTCAGCTAGCCAAAGAAACAACTTGGATTGTCAACATTTTACTTAGGAAATGGAATATTACCTTCATCCATGTTGAGCACACGCCTCTGTGGATACGTCCTGTTAGTGTTTTCTCATAAACCAGAGCACAAGTCACGTGGATTGTTGATGGTGAAATCCTGGAAGAATATTTGGTATGTCCATAAGGCAAAGCTGGTCATCATTAACTCTACGGAAAAATAAAAAGAAAAAGGAAAAGGAAAAACAAATGGCAAAACATCTTATTTTTAACAAAGTATGGATCAACATTGATGATTTGCAAACAAGATGACCTACACCACAGTTAGATAATTAGCCAACTTAAGTTATTGTTGAAAAAAAAATCAGAAGAAAATCAAATGAACCAGCAAGATTGAAGGTACTCACTTTGGGGAGGATGAGATAGAATAAAATCTGGGCTGCAGTCGAGGAGCAATTGCTGCAAAGAAAACACCTAGAGGAGGCTTGGTTGATGGGAAGTCGGCCATGACCTCGAGTAAGCTTCTCTGACCTGCAACTACATATTGAGTGTACTCCTCCTAAAGCAATGAAGATAATATTAATATGTATTTATGAAAAAAATCATCAGTGTCCAATTGAATATTGAAAGAGAGTGAGTTAACATATCCAAACCTTTCCGCCAGAGGACGCAATATATCTGAGGCGATCAGCTTCAGTTGGGTTGGAAGCATATGCCGCTAAGGCAATCAAAGCAGACTGAAAAAATAAAATATATAAATGAATATAAATAGGAAATCGTTGAGATTAACTCCTTACAGTTAACTTCAAGGAAAACCATAAGAAAAACATAATGATACAGGAAATTGGCATTAACCTTTTTGGGAGCACTCAAGAGATCTGTGTATCGTGTAAGTGCTGTCCTTAAAGTGCAAGGTGGGAAAGGAGGTAGTAAGGAGCCTCCACTGATAGGGGTACCATCTTCTTTATCAGTGTGAATTGAGAAGTAAGTTTGTGGAGACAGGCCTAGTAACTTTTCAGCTTCCTCTACAGTTTCAATCGAATTCTCACAGTAGACACCAACATGGTCCCCTGTTTCATATCTGTGAAGTAAGACGAGGTGAGTCAAGATGTTATCCAAATTTTTTCAAGCCAACATGCCCTCATTTATCGTACTAATTAGAAAACATAATAAACTTTGGCTTTATTTTTCACCTGTCACCTCCAAATATCAACACACGCACATACACACAAGTACAGCCNAAAATAAAACAAAATAAATGTACAGGCAATTTCACCCCAAACATCCTCTTTTTCTGCACCAAGTTCAAAAGTAAAAAAAAAAAAGAACAATATCAGCTCCAGCAGGCCCACCACTAAATCGAATACAAAATAGGTTAAGCATTGCAATATATTGTTGTAAAAATTAATAACTTACGCGAGTCCAGTGCTGGATATGTCGAACTCCAGGTGCGTGCAAGAACGTTCAGATGCAGGGGTGTGAAGCTCTTTCTTCACAGCAACGTTTGCTCTGCGAGGAGAACGCACACAGGTCACGTAAAAACAACTTCAACCAGATGAGGAAAAAAAAAAAGATCGAAAAGGAAGGCAGAAGGAAGTGCATACCTGCATGGATGCTGAGCATCATAAAATGTGTTACCATTAGCATGACCATTTGCTGAGCCATTTTCTGATGTTTTCTCATCGAGTTGATCATGAAACACAACACGATACTCCAAAACTGCAGCTGTGTATGGAGTGGAAACAGTAGCATCTTCCTCATTGTGAAGCAATTTGTCCAGCTTGGGCCACACTAGCTCACGCCTGTGTCACCAAAGAAACAAAGTTAAAGTTATTTTTATGTATCTCTATACAAATGATCAGATCCTGGGGCAGAAACAATATGCTATATATGATGCTATTATCAGCAATGTACAATGCTAATCAATAAGATAACAATAGTAAGATCAACAGGATAGAAAAAGAAGGCCAGGGTATTCATTAATACAATTTCACGATCGACAATAGCATCACACATTATTTTTTGTGGCAAAGTGTCTAGTTCTCTCCGAGGAAATCACATGCCATTTTTTTTTTCTTCGTTTTATTGACAATGGATCACAAGTTAGAACCAAGTCTTGGCATGAGAAATAGACATTAAGCAAAAATACACTATATGTAATACTATTACCACTCATATACAATGTTATATTAAAACATTGATAGTAGAATAAAAATTCCTCCATTGTGATGCCATTAATATGACACTCTTGATTAGCATTGCATATAGCTATTAATATCACATATAACATAATTTTAAATGAGCATGGTTCTTAGTTCCAACTTCCAACGCCAAGAATATTATGTATTCATTTGTATGTGCACGTATTATATATAGATAGATATTATGAGAGAGAGGGGTTATTAGGTGATGACTTGAGAATAATTACCATGCGGAAAAGTCATCTTCAATGCACTGGTCATCATCTCCAAGGCCAACAGGGACAAGCCTATTTCCTCCTGAAATCAGAAAAATGTAAGAAACGAAGAAAACAAGGGGTAAAATAATGAACCAGCAACCATAAAATATACTGCTATGTTATTGCCCTGTCATTTAAATATCCACTTCGAAACATATAAGGCAGTAATGTTCTCCACTTTGCAATGAAAGTCATAGTTAAGTAGGAGACAAGCTCTGACAGCCTGTGCTGTATGGACACTACATTTCTTTATAAATATCTTATAAGTGAAATGTCATACAACCATGGTTCAAATAGCTTTCTGAGAGAATGACCAACAGCAAAGAAGTATGTTACAACATGCATACTGTAAATTAATACCACGTGTTTCAGAAAGTATCAATAAAATATCCTTCATCCAAACTAGACGATTGATAATTGGGGTTGCGGAGTACTCTGCTATATGAATGATATCTTGAAGACTAATCAATCATCTTGCATGAACAAAATCAGCAGTAACAAAATAAGATTACCATACCTTGCTCAAGCATAACATCATCCACCACTTTTGCAATCTGTTACCCCAAAAGAAAGTAAAGTTCAATTAGATAAACCTTCTAGTATCTATGCATACTAAAGTATAACACAAGTAAAGACCTTATTGAAATGCTCGTATTGCCTGTTCCCAAGACCAAATACACCATACTTTAGATTCTTAAGCCAATCTCCTCTCTCTTGTCCCTGCAACACGAAGCCAGGTTAATAATTCAGCCCAAAATTCATCTGCGGTAAAAAAGGTAGGAAAAAAAATTGTTAAGATGTTGCACCTCTGTAAACCATTTGTAGAACCTTGCCGCATTATCGGTAGGCTCCCCATCTCCATAACTGCAACCAAACAATTATACTAACTCAATAAATAGTCTTTGTACTTACACTACATATGTGAATCGACATCGTCA